ATGTGGCTGCCGGATGACCCCCCGCCGGAACTATCCTCTGCCCTTTTCTGGGTGTCTGGGGCCCGGGTCTCCTCCATATCAGCTTCATGTCCTGGGGGGGCGGGGCTGTGGCTCCCCACACACACTACTAGACATTTACATGGAGATACCTTATGAACACCAGCGCACTGACACACACAGGTGTGCACACAGGTGTGCGGACAGGTGCACATGAACGCGCGCTGTCTTGATCGGCTGTTGCTTCTGGGCATGTGTTGTAATGCTGAGTGTGTGTGCAGTTCAAAGACATTTAACGCTTGATTTTCGATGTGATTCGTACAGATGTTGGTTGTTGTTTTCTCTCTTCAGCAGACATTGAAGCAGATTCAGTTTTTTCTTTTTTTTGTTTTTCTCTCTCTCTCCCTCTCTTTCCCCCTTCTTCTCCTCCCCCCCTCTCCTTCTCTTGAGGAAGTATGAGGAAGTAAATAAAAACAAATAAATAAATAGATAGATAAATAAATAAATATTTAAATATAAATAAAGCAGTCCTCCGCAGAGGGGGGGTGGTGGAGGGGAAAAAAAAGAATTTGTAAAACGTAGGGAAATATACAGACCTCACTGCTGTGGTACGTGTGCAGGGAATATCAGAATAATAATTTACTAATAATAATACTTAAATATGGTAAGAGCAAAGTACACAGCTTGACCGGAGAACTACTGTATGAACGTTTCCGTGTACGCATGCGCGGTGCAGATACGCGAGTGTTGCGCTTTGCGGAGAACCAGCCTAGATGCGTCCGCGTCCGCGTTGGGAGCGTCGCGTCGGCTCACTGCTGAAGAGAGGTGTGTGTTAGGGGTGTTCGGTTCCGGTTTTTTTGGAGTCGACTCCGACTTCCGACTCCTAATTTTGGAGTCGGTGGAATCGACTCCTCGACTCCATTTACTTTGAATTAAAATAGGGTCAGGATTCAGAAGGTGCGTCTCAATATGCTTCCTCATTTCCTCACTTCTCGCTCGTATGTCCTACGACCCTGAAACCGATCGAGCTCCGCTCTCATGTAGGACATCTAAATTCTTT